ACTTTGGCTCCAGCCTGTTAGTAGTAAACAATAAACTCTATGTAGCTGGGGGAAAGTGCACCATCGATAGAAATACTGCTGAACCATGCGGTGGTACAGGTTCTGTTGAGGTGTATGATGAGAAAAACAACACTTGGTCTGTTGTAGACCAACCACACATTCCCCCAAATAACCTTGGAGCAATAGAAGTTGAAGGGAGTGTATATTTCATCATCAACAGTTTTCCAGTAGACAGTGGAATTAGGATCCCACCAGGAGAGGTGTATCCTGTTTCTTTGGATGAGTGGGAAAATTTAGGGAAGGTGGCCAAAAATGCAGTTTTGTGCCGCTTGCCAGTTAAAAGAGAAGACTTAACATCTGAATGACTCACTCTATGAAGGTTAAGGTTATAAACCAGGGCGTCCACAATATCAAACTAAAATCAAACACTAGTTGAGAACTTTACACACAGATTCAGTTTACGTCTCTGCTTGGTCACAGCTTTCCTTTAAGTCCCAGTAGCACATGAAGGTTGAGAGACCGGAAATTCAGTAAATAAGGTTAACATAGAGATTTTTGTCTATATTGACTTAAGTGAAAGAGCACACCTAATCGCTTATCATACACTATCAGGTAAAGGACAAGTGGCTACCTTTAAAAGTGGGCTGATTGCTAGAGATTTTGTTTTCAATGAATTGTTGCTAGCTGGCGATTTTCTCGGGACTGCGGTAACTGCCCGCTAAATAGGAAGCCACTTAACAAACGTGTGAGTGCACCAGCACTGTACAGTGTATTCCAGTTGCAGGTTTAGGATTGGGTTCGTCAACAATTTTTCCTCTCTCCCGTGACTCTTGCATTCAACATGGTCGTCTTCTTACGAAGGGTGGCGTAAGGGGGATACGAATACCGCAAAACCGCTCAGAAATGCGTATAAACACCGCACAGAATAACATGAGAAAACCACAAACCGCATTAAAATTACCCGTAAATTTCTCAATTCTGGAAACTGCTTGGTTTTGTAAAACCGCAATACCGCAACTTCAAATGAAATTTCCGCAAAACGGCACCAAAAATCGAGCAAAACCGCATCACCGCAAACCCTTATGCCCCACTCCTTATACCCATCAGGCGTGCTATCCCTTTTAGTTATACCCCGTGGGTCTTTTCCAGGGTCTTTCCACCTAGTGCTCGCTTCTTTGTCCAGGCGAACGCTTCGGGCAGGGTTCACTTAAATCGAGAGCAAAAAGCTCAGGGAAAAGGCTAAGGACCTTTGTTAATTATCATTTTTAGGGTTAAAAGTGTGTTTACAGGGCAGGGCATCTTGTTCCTGTAATATTCTCGCGAAACCAAATACATTAGGTTTAAAAAAGTTTATTATTATGTAAACATGCATGAACTGTGACTATTCTAGTAGAAAACATAGTTCCGAGATCGAGAATTAATAATGCCGGGTAGTTGAACTGGGTGAAGTGCAATTTGGTCTGAAATCATACGCGTGATTTCAAAATCGAATTTGAAATCACAAAAACAGCAGAAATCATCATTTACAGCAACCGTTATTTTTTCTATACTGAACTAGGATTTGTTTAGGCTACAGGTTCTTTTTTTCTGAAAACGTTTGCGAATCATTGAGAAAAGCGCAGCATATAGTTTTTGATGCTCTAAATATTGTAATGAATCTATAATGGGGTGTTAACATAGCCAGATTAGACTTGAACTAGCTTTATTGATATAAAATCCATGGATCCTCTGAACTTCAATTATTTAATTAGCTCTATGATAAGTATTAAGTTTTTGGTTATTTTGTTGTATTGTGCATGTAAGGCTCAACATTTTCTCTAAATTTAAATAAATTTTCTCTGATCAACCATACACGTTTGTACTATGTTGCCGTACACTTCTTTTACGGTTAGTTTACCAGTGTTGTCCTTGACCACAGGATCACTGAATGCGTCATTTTCGTGACTAAACCTTTCTAAGTTCTAGAAAATGTCAAATTACTTAAATATTCAAAATGATAAGATAAACCATCATTTAAAAGAGAGGAGAAGTGTGACGTCACGTTACCACGGTAGCACTATTTCTGGATGACAACAAAACCAACGACGACGGCGACGGCAAGGAGAACGGCAAATAAATTAAATGTTTATGTTAACAAACAACAACTTTGCACGTGAATCTCGCTATTTTGTACATCTCTTTGCCATCTTGCACCACTACGACATGGAATTTCCTTATTTGACGAGCCCGCTTTATGGAGTAGGTGAACTGAACACAAAAATTGTCGCTTTCTTTTTCTAAACTTAGATAACGACAGATACGGTCTCAAAGAAAATTTCGCTAAGATTTGCCAAATTAAATGAAGTTGAATAAGATCGGTGAAGTTTGAAATAGTGCGAATAGACTTTCAAGTTACTTAATCGGCTCGTTGTCATCCAAACATTTTGCTACCATGGCAACGTGAGGTAAGGACTTCTCCTCTCTATTGACTGATATGTTTATATCGCAACAGTTTATCTTTCTGAAATCAGCCGAATAAGCACTTTAATGCTCGGACATCTTGTTGCCAACAAGACATTGTTTTTCTTTTTTAAACAATCCCTACCTTTAAAGTTAATTGCATGTTAATGAGCAAAACCTTAATAATCAGATAAAGGAAATTTGCGATTAATAGAAGAAAGAAGAAGAGAGAAAGGAGGGAGTACGTCTAAAACGAGAAACACAAGGAGGAGTAACAAAAAGCAGAACCGGAAATAGTCAGAACTAAAGGATAAAGAGAAGTCAGAGAAAATAAACAAGACAAGGAGACCGCTAGAAAAGAGGAGAAACATTACAATTGTAATTCTGTTAGTCAAAACAGATCCTATTGCCCTCTTCTGAATTAAGTTCTCTCTCACTGTTCTCGGAACAAGTCCATGAAGAGAATCTGCACATTGTCTGCACTCATGGGGGTCAATCAACAACCTGTCCACCCTTATGTTATAAGCGACTAAGTGTATGTGTTGTGGCTCGATTTTTCCTTGGTTTGCTTTTGTTTCAAACTCATGATCATATATCACCATGCCCAAAAACAAAAGAAAAAAATAATTTTAAATTAAGTAAAAACCAAGAATAAAATTGAACCACAAAATATGCAATTTGTCCCGGGCCCTGGATCAGTATGTTACATAAAAGGTATAGTTTTGTAAAACGCCGGTGGCAGAGTTTTTCTAGACTAAATAGTGTGACTTCGCACTCTAAACTGTGACAAAGAACAGGCAAATCATGAAGACGTTTACACTGTATGCCTCGAGTGGGCCGGGGGCACATGTGAATGCTTGTATACTGCGCTATCTTTTGCGATTTATTAAGTTGGTGTTTCATATTCTGACTTTAACTCAGCCAAGTGAAAATACATCAAACGCGAGATGCATTGTTTCATCCGTTATCCAAACAGCTAGCCTGAGAAAACAGACGACATCTCGCGACGCCACTGAAGGTTTCCCCGCGCAACAACGTCTGAGAAATGAGCGCAGAAATTCCATACTGATGACGCGTCACTACCTAGATCTGGGTAATTCTTTTGATTGGTCGTTCCGCGTGGGACATTTGCTTCAACCAATCAGAAGCACTATCCAGATCTGGGTAGTGACGCGTCACCAGTAAGGAATTTCTGCGCTCATTTCTCAGAGGTTATTTTGCCAGGAAACCAGTGGTGGTGTCGCTAGATGTCGTCTGTTTTCTCAGGCTACCAGACAGCGAAAACTCGCGATCATGCGGCTAACAAAAGGGAGTAGAAGCGCCCATTTTTTAGATGTCTGTATATCGGACGAAGTAACGTCAAGGTGTCTGATTTACGTCTCAGAGAAACAATATAAAGCAGTTAAGAAAAATACTTGAATTTTTTTTATTATTTTTTAAAGGTTGAAAATTACGATCCTTTAATTAGAATTGACCTTGCCTCTTGACAGTCAGCCGCTTAAAATTGACTGGTTGACTAAGCTTAATAGCTTTCAGCAACTATTTAACGCTGATGTTTAAACAGTATTTAGCTAAAATACTAAGCCTCAATAAATCTACAAAAGGGTAGGTAAATTATTTACAATACCGAAAAGTTTTCCTTACCCCGAATCCAACTCTGCAGCGTATATTTAAATCATTCTCTAAAAACTTTAAGGAAGAGAAACGTTACGTTTCTAGCACGTAGAATTAAGTGACATAGAATAATATTAATGAGTGTGCCAAATCTTGCTTATATCGAACGGTATATAAAATAGGTTGTCCCTAAAGCAGCCCACTGGGTTATTTTAGTTTCTTTTAGTTGCCCAACAATTGTGCGAGCACATGCTTGTCCCGAGGTGAGAGAGTATAACGACAAGTGATCGTTAATAGTGAAAATAAACGGATTAGTTGCGTTAACAAAGCTGTTGAAACAATAGAGAAATGCGATTCCTTCGTGCCAGTCATTGACAGAGTGTGTAAGGCTTCTTCATCGAAAATGATTGGCTAAAACTTTTCCATTAATTAACTACGGACGTGATCGAAAAATTCAGAGGACAAATTAAAATGCAGAAGGCAGAATTGAGAACAACAGTTGTTTGCCTACAAATTAAAAACACCTATAAAATCACTTTATGCCTATTAAAGTTATCCACTGCCATGAATTCGGGTGAAAAGTCATGAAAACAAGCCAAAAATGGTTAAAAATGAGTAAGGTAGTCATTGCCTGGAAAATATGGACGAAAGGCCAAAATTGACGTCAAAGTGCGCAACTCAAACAAGGCTTTGTCATCTATTTAAATACTTTCATTAAAGAAATGTTACCGCGGAGATGCACCAAAATGGAACATTTGCTTTACACCAAATTCATGTCAGGAGAAGGTTTAGGTTGATGACTATTCCAAGCGTCGAACTTGGAATGCAACTCTGAACAACTACTAAGTGACTCGTCATATGACCCGTCATTACATCCCGATAAAATATCTCTTAGTTTACTTATCTAACCACTTAAGAACATCCTCTTAATTTAAAGCATAAATCAAACCGGGTAAGAGTTTACTGGATCAAAGCTAAAATTTCCATTGCTTGCATTCTTAATGTTTAACAACACTAAAGCAACAAAAAAAAATTCCTCCAAAAAAAGCTGATTATGCCTCCTTGCCTAAATGGCCTCGTCTGATTGCTTTCCCAAAGCGGCGATCTGAATTTTCTTTCTGAATATTTTCAAGAACCTGAAAAAATTTTAGGCGCACCCAATTAAAAAAACCTAATTCGATAAGAGGTTACTTTTCCATGCTACCGCGGAGCACCTCGCTGCGGCCTGTACTGTGCTTAACATCTCTTTGTTTACTGATAGGTAACACAAGACAGCAGTATGAGAAATTTGTTCCAGTGAATTTTCCCACTCCCGTAAAGATATTTTGTACACTTCATTTGGTGCTATTCTAATGCCACTGTCAATTGGAAATTTGTTGATGATGAAATAAACCTTCCCTCCCAACAGTTCCACTGCACCGAGTTTGTTTGAAGGAATGTGGTTTTGTTGAACGACACTCCATGAGTTGCTTTCCCCATTATAAACTTCGACAGGTGCATCGCCACCTGAAGGCTGTACTCTAAGCCTCAGAAACATTTCACAAATAGCAACACTTCCACCAGCCACATAAAGATTGTTCTGATCTACAAACAGACTGGAATTAAAATGAGGATACTTGGTTGAAGCCTTTTGCTCCCATTCATTCCTCAAAGGGTCAAAAACGTGAACAACGGCTGATTTTACAATTACCTTAGGTAAGGCAGGATAGGACGGATCCTGCCTATTTTCTTTGTAACATCCATGGAGAACATATATTTTAGATCCCATACTGACTGCCGTGGCAAGTACTAATTTTTCCGCTTTGTTCAAAAAAGGCAATTGGGAACCACTTTGCCAATCATTCTGAGCCAAACTAGATTTCTGAGGCAGACCTGTGTCACTAAATACATATATATATTCATTGACTGAACTCATACAACCTACACGGAAGCACTCATTGTTCTGAAAATGTGGGAGTCTTTCCCACACATTTCTAACCATGTGATAACGATACATAACATGACTACAAGAGTCCCCCTCTATTACAGCTAAGTACAAGTAATTGCCAACAACCTCTGCACAAACACATTGAGTTGCATGAACCAATCGTGCCATGGAAGGAAACGGTTTCCATGATTTTGTTTCGGTATCAAAATACTTCATTTCAGTGACAACGGAATCTCCCCTCTTCTGCGGAGTAGACTGATCGCGGAAAACTGCTACAAGTACCTGAAATGAAACGATCAGCAAAAATAGCATTAAACTGATGAAAGAGGTCAAACCCGAAACGCTAGAAAATTTCCAAATTTCCTTTTTTTGGATCATCCTTTGTAAAAAATAATATAATTAACAATTAATGAATGAGGCTGAGTATCTTTTGAAGAATTATGGAGATCTCGCAGGCTGTTATCCGCCTCGGCCTACGGCCTCGACGGCCGGATAACACCCTCCTCGATCTCCATAATTCTTCATATGATCATGATACGAAAGCCGAATTCAATAATTGTTTTTTTATTCATTTAAAATAATTCCTAGTTCAAAAACATGGCTAAAACATGCTTACCTCCATCTATTCATCGTTGTTAAGTTCATCTTTGATAGTTCACGTTTTGGGTTATTCAGCTCCGCAAATATTCTCCAAACAGAAGATGTCGCCCTCCGAGTTGTCTTTTTGCTGCTTTGCTATGATTTTAGCCATTATTTCGCCTAGTTCCAGCTGTAGTTCTTACTCTTGAAACTTGTGAAGTGTCCGCATTTTTGCTTTCACAACCAAAACAACTCAACCTCGTCCCAAGGTCTTCTCCGTTAACAGTGCACTAACCTGTAGCGGGCTGCATTTTTGACGTCATTTCCTCGGTAAATACAAAATTCTTCCAAATTTGGTCATCAGTAACTGGTTATGGTGAATTATGCGTGTGCTTTTGGCCAATCAGAATTGGGGAAATATTTTGAATGAATAATGATAATTCCGATTGGCTAAAAGCACAGGCATAATTCACCATAACTACTTACTGATGACCAAATTTGGAAGAATTTTGTGTCTTACGAGGAAATGATGTCAAAAATGCAGCCCGCTACGGGTTAACGCACCGTTACAGAGAAGACCTGAGGACGAGGTTGAGTTGTTTTGGTTGAGAAAAAAAAAAAACGGCGGACATTTCACTCGTTTCAAGAGTAAGAACTACAGCTGGAACTAGGCGAAATAATAGCTAAAAACATGGCAAACAGCAAGAAGACAACTCGGAGGGCGACATCTGCTATTTGGAGAATATTTGCGGAGCTGGACAAACCTAAACGTACACTATCGAAGATGAACTTAACATCGATGCAGGTAAGCACGTGGCTAGATTCTAGAATATCCGTCCACTTAGTCGTTAATCGTTACGAGCTGCTACCGCGGTCGGCAGTCACCAATTTACCTACACACACGCAGTCTCTTCGGGAGCTGCTACCGCGGTCCGCAGTCACGCAGTCAACATTAAATGTAACGGGTGTCCGGAAAACTAAGACCTAAGACCTAACACCCGGAAAACTAAAACCCGGAACTGAACTGTTCTGGCCACTGGAATATTCCCCAAGAACTCTGGCTACCGCGGTTCTCAGTCCGCAGTTCACTGAAGCGAAACAAGCACACATAATTAGTGATATACCTCCATCGTCAATCCATATAAAACGAAACAAGTACACTACTGTACATGTAATATACCTCGTTCTTTAATGATAGACATTTAGTCCCTAAAATTTAAAATATATAACAAAGGTCGGGCAGACATTTTGCACGATCGATGTCGATAAATACGCCTGCAATACAGCCTAGGCACCCACACACTTTTTTGACGCAGCATTTCAGAAAAGCAGTCTAAAGTTTTCCGGGTCTTAGTTTTCCAGGTCTTAGTTTTCGAGAGTCTTAGTTTTCCGAGTCTTTAATTGTGGCTAGTATCTCTTTAATAGTGCCACAGTGCTGGAATTCCCTCGTGCGTGTCAGTTCGTTGAATAACTGCCATGTTGGATCTGCCTGATTCTCATCCTCCTTAGTCACACTTTCTCATGTTTACAATCCGGGTTTTATGGGTCTTAGTTTTCCTGGTCTAAGTTTTCTAGGGTCTTAGTTTTCCAGGGTCCTAGTTTTCCGGGTCTTAGGCCTTAGGTCTTAGTTTTCCGGACACCCAAATGTAACTGACATTTAACGATACGCGAAATACGAAACAATTAGTCTACCGCATAAGCAACTAACAAAAGAACATGAATATACCTCGTTCTTTTCACCAAATATGCGAGACAATTTCGATTGCCTGGCATTAAACGATACGCGAAACACGAAACAATTTATTCTTAAACTGGGAAACGAGGGTGTTTTGATTTTGTTTTGAAAGAAATTCAAAAAACAACAATATTTGCAAAAATTTGTTACTCATACATGTGGTGTCCAGTAGAATGCATGATCACGAAGATAGTAGTTTGGACTTCACACTATACCGAATAGGGTTTTTGTGCCAACGACGAAAAGCTACCCGGTACATGAACGTCACTTATCAGAAATGTGAATTTTTTAAGCCAAACAAGGTCAATTTATCAGAAAAATTAATTAATTTCGGCTAACTTTTACCAAGAGGCAAAGTTTTCTCTTGTCGTTTACTGTTTGTTATTTTCATGCAAACAGTAGCAACCCCGTGTCAGATTCATCCAGGGTAAGAATTATTTCATTCCCAAGTACGAGAATGTGTCAACTTGAATTTGCCGTTTTCCGTAAATGTGAATCTCTAACATGTAGCATTAGACACACATGATGGAGCAGGAAATTAACTCTGGAGTGAAGAATCAGAAGAACCAATTACCAGAAGCATTTTCAAAGCAAATCTTCACTCGCGAGATTGGGCTACCTGTGCAAAGACACGTCAGGTGACAGCTTTCTTTGGAAGTACCTTTTAGTTCCTTTTGATATTGCAGAATGATCTTAATTTCAGCAAGGAAGCGAATCGACCTGCAATGTGATAATTTATGCGAAGCACAGCAGAAAAAGCCTGATGATGAGGATTAAGGAACCATGCGCTTGCACAGAGGATAACTTCATTTGTTTCAACCAGTTACCCACGCAATACTTAGTCACGATCGAAAGCTTGTTTAGGTAGGAAGTTGTGTTGTACTTACCGGGATCATTGAACGTGGCCTTGTTTTCTCGAGAGCAAATTTTGAGTTGGGCGAAGGCATTTTGCTATGCAGCAGTTTCTGACACATAAGAATTTGAATCTCTGGCACTCGCTGCATCTCCTCTGTGTTCAGTTCTTCAACTACATCCTTGGTGTCGACCATCCCCAAACGAACCGCTCCGATAACTTTAGCAGCGACTGGCATCCTCTCTTCCTTCTTGTGTTTGATCCACTGCATCACGGATTTGAAGACGAAGTTCTCTGAAGGAGCATTGAGGTCATCTCGACTGAGAAGATTCAACAAGTGATCAGCGCTAATATGGGACAAGAACTCTTCAGTTTCACAGACCTCCCGGTACAACGACGCCATCTTACGTTGTACAGCTTCCTTTAGGTCTCTCAGATCGTGCAAATCAGCAAATTCAAGAAGATGGAGATATGTCTGAACGTCAATGCCACCTTGAATGTATTCTTTGTCCAAGAAATCACAACACAGGCGAACTATGATTGCCATCTGAAGATGGTTGGCAGTTGTGAGAACTTCAAACACGTTTTCCTTGTTAACAAGGAGTTTTCCGCTGTAGATGGAATCCATTACGACCTTAAAACCCAGTGCTGAAATGTTTTCATCTTTGAGCTCAATCACTTCCTGGTTTGATTCCTTCATTCCGTTGGTAAACATTGCATGGAAATAGTCGCTATTAGCAGCGAGAACATTACGGTGAGCAGGAAAGATGGACGTATCTACCTTCAGACGAACGTCAATGAAGTCTCCGTTTTCTCTGAACTGGGCTAACTTGAACAAAAGGTGCGCTGCCATTTTGGTGATGCGATCTCAGTGTGTCAAGACAGAGCCCTGTCGTTTCTAAGAGTCTTCAAACAGTCTTCTGTCTGTCATTTAGGTGTCATACAACAATGGCAATGATATGAAAAATGACCAATGAAGGGGTAGTTTCTAATTGATCACGAAACACTGTCCCTGCTTTTTTCAACCCACCATATTAGGTAACATTAAAAAGGAGTAGTTAAATTATGGTCTCACACACTTCAGACAATATTTTGTGAGATCGACGTAAAACAACATAGGCAGATAAAAAGTGAAACCCGTTTATATGGAGAAAACTTGTCCCGGGTCACGGAAGGGATCGCTGATAATTTGCTCCAAAGTTTCAGTACAGCCACCACGAAGGCACGGTCACGGTCTGTTTCTTTGACGACAGAGGAATGACTAGCCTGTTGCGGGTCGGTCACGTCCCTGCCAGTGAAGCCACAGAAATAAAGTCGCAGACAAGGGCCAGATTGCATAAAACCTTGTTTTAAAATAATAGTTACGAGTTCCCTTAATCTTAAGCTGTTTTTGGCAACCCGACAAAGGTTCCCAGCCAAGAATTATATTATACATAAGGAGCAATTAGTTAAGGTAGATTCAGTATTTATGTAGGCATACCTTTCATCTTTGAAAGTCTTATACCTAGTAAACAACACGCATTACACTGCACGTAGACGTTATTCAATCATATTATTATTGTTCCAGTTAGGGATCTAAATGTAAGGTAATGTAAAGTTATGAGTTTTGATTGATCAGGTCGAGCTCTTCTGACATAGACTTGAAAACGTTTGCGACTTGTTGGCAAAAGTGCAGCATTTTGTTTTTTGAGATTACAAATATCGTAATTAATCTATGGGTGGGCGTTAATACGGGCGGATTAGGCTTCAGCTAGATTTGTCAACATGAATTGCATTCTCTTAACTTGAATTGTTTAATAATTCATTACTATCATGATGAGTAAGTTTTTCTTCAATGTACTACTCAACATTTTCCAAATTCAAATAAAATTTCTCTGATCAACCATGTACGTTAATCTGCTTGTACTATGTGTTACCGTTTACTTGTTCCACGGTCATGAACCAGTGTTATCCTTAAAGGGGCTAGATCCGACGCTGTTTGCTATATTTTTAAAAAGCTAGAACGTCTCTTCGCATTAATTGAAATTAAACAAATAATGGTTTCCTGTCGTCTGTCGACTCGTAACGGATAACAAGGATGAAAGTGGTCTTAAACTTGGAAAAGTTTGACCAACTTTTTCAAGTTTCAATGCTATGCCCGCAAAAAACATTATTATGGTTATTGTTTACTGGTGAAATTTGTTCGATATCTTCTTTATAACTCTACAGGAGCATTTTGTGTATATGGTAAAGTCGCTAGACGTGAGCAAAGAATTGACCTCAAACAGTGATATCATTGTGACATATCCCCTTAACGTCCTTAACCACAGGGATAGTTTGATACACAGTCTTTACAACCCGGTCAGTAACTCGAAAGTAGACGGTTTACAGTTTCAGACTCACGAGTCGAGTTTTCTTCCTGAAAGGCAATTTTGCTATGTGGTTTTGTGTTACATAACTGCGTGGCCTCTGGCAAGAAACATCTATTCATGACGGTTCCATAACTGCCTCTGCCCTTTCCAGGTGATATGGAGGTGTGCATGCGCAAGGCGCTGACCATACCTTGGAAACAGAGGTGATAGTGTGTGTTTCGTTGCTGATTTTAATACTCTGTAATACCAAGTAGAATAATAGTAAATTGATTCTTACGAAGATTGAGAAAAGAAAAAAGAAAGGAAAAATCGAATGGTAACGAGCTAAATCTATTTTATGAAACACCAAGGCAGAAAAGCGAGGGTGAGTTCTTTAATTTTTTGTTTTGTCTCATTTCGAATGACTGTGTCACAATTAGGTCATGAAAGGAACGTTAAAACCATCGGTTTGTTAACCAACCCTTTCTCTTCCTCTATCATTCCTGGCTTGGGAACGAGATTACTGGTGAGCTCAATAGTCCATTTCCAAGTTTGAACACGCCTTTGTTTTAACTGTGAAAGGTTTGAACCCAGGAGTCATTTCAAAAGTCGGGGGAAGGGCGAAGCTTTTGTTTTGAAATTGATTTTTTCTTTCTTGATTCCCACGCAAGTAAAAGTTGTTATTTGTAACTTGCTGTTATTTGTTTACCCACGGAGCACTTAGGAGCACCTAAGAACTCGTTAAAATGTGTCCGTGCGTTTCAAATCGAATTGAAGTACCACCGCCCTGTTAGCTCAGTTGGGAGAGCGTCGGTTTGCCGAGAGGGAGGTCGCGGGTTCAAACCCCGGCAGGAACGACACTCACGGTCTTTAAATAACTGGGAGAAAATACTGCCTTTGTAATGACATCTGCAAACGCTGGGGACTTTCTAGGCTTCTCGGATAAGGACGAAAAACCGTAGGTCCCGTCTCACAGCACTTTTACTGATTTGTTCTTGTGGGACGTAAAAGAACCCACATCACTATTCGAAAAGAGTAGGGGTAGTGGACCCGGGTGGTGTTGCCAACCTTTACGAGTTGTGGGATTGGGTAGGGATACCATTATGGCTCTTGGTAGGGATGGCACCTCGCATGGGACCTGAGTCCCGTTCGTGCACATTCCTTCTGGGTAGGCCTGTGTCCAGAAAAGGGGACAAATACAAATTTGGAAGTGTGGAAAACCGAAGTACCCGAAAAAACCTCGGAGCAAAGAAGACAACCAACAACAAATTCATCCCACATATGATGTCGACGCCGGAATTCGATCGTGTTGGATTCCATCTAGATCTTCAAGTCGACGATGAAACCGTATTTGAAGTTCTTATCGCCACTGGTCATCTCCAAGTTACAAGTGTTGTTCAACAGTGTTGTGATTACTTGCAAACCCAGTTTGTTCAGCTTCGATTTGATGTGCAGACGTATTGTCACGTCTCAGCGATTGCTGATCGACATGGCCTAAAAGACCTTCAAGAAGCCACGCAGACTAATTAAGATGGCCTACATTTACAAAGTGATCTGTGAAATGAAGACTTCTTGTCCCATGTTGATGCTGATCAGTACACTAGCCTTCTCAGCCGAAATGACCTCAGTGCTCCTTCAGAGACATTCGTCTTCAAATCCGTGATGCTGCGGATACAATACAATACAATACAAATTTTATTGTCAACGCCCCATGGGGGCTTTTCAGAGACAAATATTAATAGTACAGGTAATCACAAAAACAAAAAAAAAAGAAAGAAAAAAAAAGTACTCAAGAATTGTCAATAAACAATTATTAAGAAACTATATGCATATAGAATTTATGACATCACAAATTGATTATCAATAAACTATTAAGAAACTATTTACATATAAATTTATGACATTAAATTTATCAAACACAAGAAGGAGGAGAGGATGACTGTCGCGACCAAAGTTGTCGGAGCGGTTCGTCTTGGGTTGGTGGACATCAGAGATTTGATTAACGAACTTAACACAGAGGAGATGTAAAGAGTACCAGAGATTCATACACTTTTGTTTGAATCCTCTTTATATCACCACAGTCCTTCAAATACTTCCACGTTTGCCACAGAGAAAGCAAAACTACGCTCAACCAGTCCAGTAAGTATATGGGGTCAAGCAGTTTCGTGTGAGATATCATGGAGTGTTTCATGGCATGCGGATGGGATATTGTTGGGGAACATAGTCTGCGGGTCTGGTACAATTTCTCTCCGGATCTATAGATTAAAAGATTTTTGCCTTTAGGCTCCATGATCACTTAGTACTTCTAAGAGTAATTAAATATTATAATCTACCATAATAACACTATGTCATGGAAGTAACAAAGTTGATTTGGTATATATGCCCACATTCTAACCCCCCCCCCGCCCAAAATCTTAGATTACCCCCCACCACCAACACCCCCAGGGAAAATTCGCCAATACTTTACTTTCCCTCAACGGCTGAACACTCATATAAAACCTCAGTGGGAAATGAACGATAAATCAACAATCAAATATCGTTATTCTGCGTACATTTCGACTTTAAGAGAATATTTTTGCACCAGCGGGCGAAGTTGTTACTCAGACAAGTTAAAGCGTGAAACCCCTGAGTATTTTACGCTTTATTATTGCTGATTTTTTATTGACTTAATCAACTTAATAGTAACCTTAGTGCCAATGCAGGCTGAGTTGTAGCTGTAATATGCTGGTGATATTTTCCAATGTCAAAGCCAACTTTCTTTTCATTACAGGTAATTCTTGCTGTTCTCCCTAAGACTCACATGATTTTGATATTGAAGAGAAACAGTGGAAGCAGCTATCGTCCCTAGCACCAGCAGCTGATGCAGGAAATTGTCTGTGTGCAGAGACTCTCGGCAGGCAACTGTTTGTTGTAGGATATATCGTAGGCGTCGGTTATTCTACTTACTGTTATGACATCACAAATAAGAGGCAAAAGCATGACGCACTTTCATGTGGCGTGATCCGCAGCTTATGCGCTGTAGACGACTACATGTATGCAGTACCTTCTGACTACAGCATGATACTGGCGTTTTGCAAAGCTATACCTTTGAGGTGGCAAGGCTTCGCTCAATTAACTATTTCCTGTATAATACTGTTATGGTTAATCAAATAAATATACCAAGATGCTTAAAATCTAATATTTTTGTTATTTTCTATTTCTATATTGAAGAAAGATGTCTATTTTGCTGTTAATTCACCCATCGAACGCGAGTAATTGTCGTACTGTCTTAAATTGACCATGAACCTCACTTTTTTTATAGATAACTTTCTTCTCCAATTCTTGACAGATTAGTCAGAAATATAACAACTAAACGTTCGAAAATTTACCATTTTCCTTCCCAGGAAGTATCAAGTCGTGCCAACTTGCGACTTTCAAGCCAGTGAAAACGTGGTCGTTAATTATAATGTGGTTCAAGGTTACCTGATGAATCAATCTGCTTAATAGACCCACTTCTATGAGGGACGGGATGTATGTTGGTTGA